CGTGCTACACGTCTGAACCTTTCTACTGAATAAATGTTCCGTGCTACACGTCTGTATCCTCTGTAGAATAAACGTGCTCCGTGCTAAACATCTGTTTCCTTTATATGCAATATACGTACCGAATAAACGCATTTCGTGCTACACGTCAGTTTCCCTTATAGCTGGGCTATAGCTTAGCTGGTTCTGGGAGTCCAGATGTAGGAGAATCTGCCAAAGAGATTTCTGAGTCAGGAGAATCTGCCATAGAGATTTCTGAGTCAGTCAGGCTTTAATAAAGTAGCAATCCGCTACAAATCTCTGTCATGTTCCACTACTTCCACAACACCCGCCTCACCTTTTTTCTACCTTTGTGCCTATCTCTCCTATACATCTTTGAAACCCTCTTCTCTTCCCCTGTCGAATTTTTTTTCACATTAATGTTCTTCCCTTCCGTGAAGCCCGAAGTCAGTTAAGGGGCTAATGATAACTATCGAAATGCCTGCCATTTGATATAAATAAGTAAAATAAATCTTTATTAATTCTAGACAGCCAAAGTGCTTTCATTTTTTACATATTAAATAATTAATTCATTTAAGTCCCCATTTCATGACCCGAAAAACAAGCCATAAATTGTTGAGGAATTGGCTTTGGATGTTAACGCTAAGAATATAATTATTACTTTCCACTGTCATGGCAAGAATAACGTTAAAGGACACTGAAATAATATTGAAAATCCAAAAATTATGCACTGATGGAATCAGTCTAGCTATTAAACTACTTTCGTCAAATTTAGACATATTTATGAGACGAAAATTATGAGTACACTAAATCAATAGTCATATAAAGCTCTCTTTGAAAAGGTACAGTTTTTCAATGAATAAGTTCCTTGATTCACAAAGAACAAAGATTTCCTATCACACAGGAAAATAATATCTTAATATATCTTCGAATTCTTCTAGTTTACGAGAATGTTCCAAATTATGGGAATATTATTGAGCTTTGAAATTAGTTGCCCTATTGCAAAGATATGACAGATCTTTCGAATTTTTTATACTCCGATTGATACTCAAGATTATTGATTCCGTTGTGAGGTTTCAATCGGTTTAAGATGAATGCACAAAAAAATTTGAATTAAACTTACTTATGTGAAAGTTATTCTCCATATTCATATTGCAGGGCTGGAAATGGAATTATCAGTAGGTTTTCTGAATTTCCCAAATGGAATGTAGCCTAATATTATTTTATACCTATGATTAAAAAAATAATAAAATTTCCACTTTCTATTTAATTCAATTAATATGAACTGAAATCCCTCATAGTTCATTGAAAATAATTGCGTTGATAAACATGCAATACCATTGGCGTGATCTTTCTAACCAGCCAACGTCTCACAGTTTGTCAAAAGCAAATATTCCCAAAGTCACAATTTGGATCAAATTGCATGGCAACAAAACATTCATAGCAAAAAGGAATAAAAATTAATTCAATAAAATTCTTTGGAAATAGTAATTGTGTGTTGATTTGTTAATGTCCGCGTTTGAAACTCATCAAAGAGCCAAAGTACCAATAAAGATTTGCACACAGCCCTAAATTTTTAATGAATTTCGTTGACAACTTATAAATGACAATATTTAAATCATGGTTATAGAGAGCATTTAATAAGTGGTTTGGAACGATGTCTAAAGTTAATTCCATTTTCCTGTCTATTAAGCCAAACTGTAGATGATCCCATTTTTTTAATAACTCCCGACTCATGATAGCCTACATGAAAGAAGAACAATTTAGAACTTTTTTGCTATCGAAAGTAGTCCCGTCGGGAAACGTTTAAATTGTTACACAGCTAGTGGAGAAGGGGAGACGTAAGGCGGATACTTAAAATTATACAAGTTTTTAATTGAAATTAATGCTTTTATGCACATTTGATGTCCATGTCTTTGTCATAAACCCTGCCGATTAGTATTGTATAAATTTTGAATAACTTTAATGTTAGGGGCAAGAAATGATTTAATCTACTCAGGCAAACGTGCATCGCTTTCGTGCTTTTTATGAAACAATGAAAAAAAAACCAGACGTGAAAGTGTTGAAAATGAATTAATTGGTAGATAATCCAATCAAATAATTTAAAGACTGTGATAACTTGACTAAATCAACTGGCTTTCGTGCACGTCTATCTACCTTGCCAAATCTATTCCCTCGATCAAAAAAAATGTTAAAGAGCTTAATTGGCTTTAATTTTGGTGAATTTGAATAAAGTTTACGGGTTTCAAACCAATAAATTCTTTTTTTTTCAATTATCGAGCTTCAAGATCTTCCCTAGTTGCTTTCCCTGTCACTGGTGCCAAATGGTTTCTTGATTTCTTTTTTCTACTCGAAACTCATTCAAGCAAAGTTTACTGCTCTAATTAAACGCGTCCTATGGGCCGCTGATCTTTCCTATCATTCTGGTTGAAGGTAATTGCAATCCTCACTTCTGTGATCACAGCTGAGTGAGCTCCTGATAATAAAATTTTCCTAGTTCCAAAGATAAAAGTATTTGTTTATATCATTTAATAGCTCTAATTAAATGAAGAAATGGCTGGGGTTTGAGGGGGTGGGGTATGGAGGGAAGAATCAACTCATTCTTTAAATTTCTTTCTTTAGAGACTAAACAAATTTTATCTGGATAGCAAAACTGCGAGAAAATTAAAATCTCACACGAAAATCGATGCAATGTTCATCAAGCACAATAACGACAAAATTCTTCCGAAAATATTGGGTGTTCTTAAGTTTTTATCTAACGATATCTAAATGAGTTGCCTGCATACCTCTATTTGTCACCGAAATCTTCAAGGCTATAGGGCAATTAAATAAACATTTCTGTCTATCAATCTGAGGACTTGCCAGTTTTTTGTAATTGCTATTAGGATCGTATCGGGGACTACTACCTGCTATGGCGTTTGATGACATTGGCTCGTAAAGAATTTATTTTATCCTTTTTTCTTACTTTTCATTTCAAATTGATGAACATGCGCAATTCGATTATAATTACTTTCGTATTCTTTGAGAATGAATTTTGCAATCACTCATAAAAGCATTCATCGTAACAATAAATGAATGATATTTGGTAATTAATAAGCCAATAAATGTACAATACTCTTATCTATTCTCTTAGAGACGCAAATGATCCCATTTTTACGTATTAAATGATAAATTTCTCTAGGACTTAGCAGCTAACCTACACAAGGGTGACTTTCTTTCTGTTTGCAGGGCTAAAAGATCCTATTTTCCTTTTCGCATGAACTTCAGCATAGAGGGGAGCAGGTAAACTTGTTTTTTCTTCTTTTTAAAAGCTTAGTATTTCAATTTGAAAAATTCTTATACCATAGAGTAGATTAACTATCTCAAATCGATTCCAAGACTGTCATTAACTGTTAAGTAAATGTGACGACCATTAAACCTATAAAGACATAGTGAGCGTTGCGCACCCAGTCATGATCACCAATACAGCTGATAAAATGCGAGTTTATCAAATGAGAAGCAACGGAGATCCTTTTCACTTCCTAATTCAACTGCTGGTGGAATTGGACAACTTGAATATGAAAGTTCAGTTCGCATTTTTAATATCACTTGATTTAACGTTCGTTCTTCATGCAATCAGTTACTCTGATGAACCTAATTCCAAATGAAATTATGTCATTTCTACGGTAAAGAAGAGCTATTTATTATTAATGTAATCAGTAACAAATGGTTGAATTGATTTTTTTTCCTAGTAATTTTGTTTTGGATTTAATAAATAAAATGGATGATTCAGCACTCCAATGAGATATTAATGTCGCCATTTGGCATAACTCTGGTGTCTAGTCCGCACAGAAATTCAGACATATCCATGACCTTTGCGTGAGGAATGAAAACACATTGAAGTACACCTAACGTACGCTATGCAATGTGCAAAATGTGGAGTAAATATTGTCCAATATATATCCAACTCAAATCTATCTGGATCAGGCACTGTCGTGAAAAAAATTGCCCCAATTTCACTTCCAGAGGCAACTTCCGGCTACTTGAGCTTTTATAGGGGGGAGGGGGGGGGGAGATAAAAGGGATTGAAATATCTCATATCAGCTTATCACCCTCAACAATGGGATTAAATGCAACTCGAGGCTTCCATTTGTGGAGTACTCAATCCTCACACAATATTAAAAAGGACACTGAACCCGATGGAATGTGCGGCTGTACGTGCAGAGTACTACTCAAATTTTTCTGCTATTAATGTTCATTCAAATTAGGCTAGGTGTATGAGTTAACCGATCGTGTTTATGCTGATATCATAGTTTTCAATGAACGCCTCACTCTTCTCCACGTCTTCCTCCACTTTATCATTGCGATAACCCAAGTCTGTGAGCCTTTTCCTACTAGGAAGAGATTAGTGAGAGTAAGTCAAGGCCTATTCGTGGGACAATCCGCTACACATTTTTATTATCCAGAGCACCACTAACAGTGATAGAAAAAATAATTAATTAATTTTCTTCAAATTAAAATGTTAATTTTGATTCACATATTTTGAATTTTATATTTCCTTTTAGGGTTTAAAAAATTAGCAAATAAGTTATTTGCAAAAAAATTTCTTTGAAAACTTAATTAATGGTTATCTCAAAGGAATGCCACTTTCAGTTTTCAGAACGTCGGGAATTAACATATTCAAGGCGGAAAGGTGACCGTTGCATATATTTCTCGACGACTTGACGAGAACTCGTTCCTCAAACACCAAAATTTCCTCACTTCTGTTCTTCCCAATAACGCATTCACACGAAAGAAAGATAATCAATTCCCTGAATTCCATCCAGGGATGCACAATTGTGTTTTTTAGTAAAAGAAAAACGGAACTTTAGTCACCTTAGTTCCTGAAACCCCGATCTACTCAGTGGCACTCGTTGCACTAAACCCGATTCCCGTGTCACCCCAGTTAACGCAAATAAATAACTACTGTTAACTTTTGAGCATAATAATAATATCAACTTTATCCGATTAGCAATAAAAGGTAACTAGGGGGGCTCCTGCCAAAATTCGTGCCACGTCACATCGTACTATCCAAACACAGACATGGGATAGATGTCGATGAATGTTAACCATTAATGAATTAATCTAAAGGTAAAGACATACCTCAATGTCTTCCTGTTGCGCTGTCTGTCTTCTCCACGCAAGTGCGGCTATGGAAGCATTGGCCACAGAACTAAAGCTCATTCCCCCTCCACGACGTTTGACCTTATCCCGAATGACTTCTTCCTCGGGGGCGTCTGTTCGCACGAGACTGAGGGAATCACTGCGGCTTGGCAGATCGAAGGTGATATTGTGCATGTTGGCAGGCGAACTAGTAGACGGCGTTCCTGATCCTGCTTTGGCTGGTGAAGGAGACTTATCTGTTGCCTTGGAGGTCGTTCCATTGACATCTCCCATTCCCGGAATTGGCATTATTGGCATTACTGGCATTAAAGCCACTAAGGCTGATTTCGCTGCGTCTTGAAGCTGTAAGACAAAAGAAAACATCTTGTCTGATCAGATTGGAAATTCCATATTTGCAAAACTCATTCCATTTGCAGTGGCAGAACTCATAAAATTAGGTAGAAAACAAAGATTAATATAGGCAGAAATTAGACGCATATGTGGCTTCCCACTTTAAAGTGTCACATTGATTGAAAAATAGAAATAAAAGATCATTTTTTAACTAAGATACCAAGAATTCTGTTTGGTTTACCTCCTGTCATATACCAGGCATTGCCATAACTAATATCGATTTAAATATGCTGTCTTTCTGAGATTAGAAAATACAAATGTGTTTTAATATTGCTCCTCAAAGAATAAGAATCAATCAGGCAAATACCTGAAAGCCTTAATAAACGCTTAAACGAGAGTATTTCTCGTCAAACAATTTCATATCCTAGTGACGAAAATAACTTTTTTTAATAAGTGAAGCGAATTTGGAACTTAACCACTTGTGATTTGAAATCAAATTGAACAAAAAAGGAAATTTTCAATCGAAGAAAAAAATAATAAAGCAGTTAAGTGGCAAATCATAGGCAGTTAAATTGTTAATTAAATAAAATCTTGGGTCCCACGGTACTCGTGATTAGTTATTTGATAAATTTTATTTCATACTCTTTTGTAATTGCGCTGAGTAATTGTAACAATGAGTTGTTTGGAGAATCATGAGAATGAATCAGTGTTTCATTTTTGATCTATGAATTTAGAGCCTCTGATATTTAGAAGCCGTTGAAAAATTCATTTGATTTAATGATTTGTGGTGCTGGAAAGTGCAACAATTTCGAATCTACTTCAATTTGGCAAAATTCTATGATCACATTTATTTCTTCAGATAATAGATTATTCAAGTACTATTTTCAATTAGTCATTCTTACGAGTAAAGTCTCATTAACACTGCGTGGCTGAATCGATAAGCGAAAATACTGACAAATTGTACTCAAATGCAAATGTGAGTAGTAGTATTTCTACAACAGTTAAACTATCCACTAAATTTCAATTCCTTTGTGCGATTCCAGTCAAAGTAGACCTAAATGAGTAACTGGTAATATTGCAGGGTACCGCGCATGAGATATCTTCAAGAAAAACACAGAATGCCTAATCATGTAATCCTCCGTCGACCAACTAAAGGATACCTCGATACTATCAAAGTGCAATTTTTATTGATTTCACGAAGACCACTTAATGATTAGGCTGCTTTATATGAGTTGGATCCGAAAGAAATTGAGGGTATTGTGGTGGTGAAACCGATAGTTTCACACCAGCATCAAAAGATAATGTAAAAGAATTGTAGACGAGGCACAAATAGCACCCGAAATAGCAAGTTACAGTTATAGCAACATTAATAATGCAGCGCCGCACACTTCAACCATGCTCTTTGCGATTGCATGTACCACCATAGTGCGGGTGCACCACCACGGGGCTGACCTGTGACCAAAGAGACCATGTGGGTGTGCCACCAATTCCACGACTGCAAGAACGAGACCTACTTGCTATCACCGAGTCTACATCATCGGGCTGGGGAGGAAAGTGGAAATTAGATATCTGAAGGGGAACTTCACCAGTAAACGCTCGTGAAGAAGCCAATTTAAGTAAGCAAGATTAAATACCAAACTCGGGGTTTGAGCTCGTGGGATTCAGAAACCCTTGATGGCACAAATTTTTCATTCAGAGGGCAAGCCAGCCAACCAATCGCACTGAGTTAATCGGAATAATAGTTGAACCAACAATATTCGCGTTTTTCCCAAAAGACTTTTTTCGTAAGCACTTTCCGTATTGTTTTTTTAAAATGCATTTGCTTGTTGATAACTTTTAAATTTTGCATGCCCAAATGGGTTTAAAACCCATATTACCAAACACCATTCTTATTTGCAGACACTTGTTTGAGATTATCTATTTAGAAAAAAAAATAAATTTTTTATTGTTATTTTATTTATTATTTTTATTAAAGTAAATGTCTTTAGATAATTTAAAATTCCCTTACTCACTTTTTCTATTGGCTGATTAAATAATATTCCTAATTATAATTTCATTTTATCCTAAAGAAAGTTAAATATTTACACTTCATTCATCATCCTTGTCTGTCTGAGGCTACGTACATGCAACAATTTTTCTAATTAACTCTCTTCATAGTGAACGAGACAATGAAGTTATGAAAAAGTTAGTTTCATTTGGTGCCTCTTCTGTCTAGCCAAATTCAGGAAACGTTTAAAATATGAACTAATATCTACTCTCAAAGCCAATATAGAACTTCAGGTTTTTACAACAACATTGTATTAAACCAGAGGATGGTAAATGACCGAGTGAAACAACCTCCAAAATTGTCAATCACGAGTAAAATAATTGCATTTTCGGTAAAGTTTCCCCTCTCCTCCTCTCCACCCCCACCCCCACTGAATATCGAATAGGAATTACCTGAAGTTGTTTCCTGCTGTATGGCTTGGTCTTGTCCACGTCAATTAGACTAAAAGGAGAAAATAATGGAATAAATTTAAAGTATAAATGGGTGATAAAGGGATAAGGTATTTTTATTTAGGCCAATACTCATTCTAATAAATGGATACTGCCATGTCTGAGATGTCATTTGGAGATGAAATACACTGGCTCAATTTTAATATTTCAGTTACATTATGGTCCTTCTCCCCAGTTGGCCACCACCTCTTGAGATAATAAAAAAGTGATTCGCTATAAATCTAGTTTGAAAGGTAGGGGTGTGCGATAGACTTACCTCCACGTGGTGCACCCTGGGCAACGTATATTCATACGGCAAAAAAGTCTATCAATGGGCAGTTGACTTCTGACTTCAAACAACCATGACCCCACTGTGTGCCATATTCGACTACTTTCACAGTACTCATTGAAACACTCTTCTGTCCCCCCTTCTCGAATTTTTTNAGGGGTGTGCGATAGACTTACCTCCACGTGGTGCACCCTGGGCAACGTATATTCATACGGCAAAAAAGTCTATCAATGGGCAGTTGACTTCTGACTTCAAACAACCATGACCCCACTGTGTGCCATATTCGACTACTTTCACAGTACTCACCTCACCTTTTTTCTACCTTCGTCTTTGAAGCACTCTTCTGTTCCCCCCCCCCTCTCGACTTTTTTTCCACTTTGATATTCCTCCCCCTCTGTGAAGCCTGAAGTCAACTAAAGGGCTAATGATAACTATCAGAGCGCCTGCCATTTATATAAATAAATAAGTTTGAAAGGTCATAGAATAATAGTGATTAGCTTTCTGAACATGACAGGGCTCACTGCTTTCACCCAAAAAAGGAGTGCTCAGATGACAAATCTTTCAAGGATAGTCGAAAGTCAACAAAATACGATCACCTGGCATATGCTGTATGATTTAATTCACTTTCATTGACTTTCAATTGGCAGCATCAATGTGATGGAGACAAGGAAGCACATGTGCTAATTGAAAACCGGTGCAATAGGAGGACTTAAATTATAATGTGATATGTTACTTTGGATTGTAAATTATTAACATCTCTATTGTTCCATGGATTGATTGCTGACATTTGATTTGACTTCTTCCTTCAATCCAAGAAAAGTCTACCACTTAATTATTGCAATATCTTAGAAGGTAAATAAATATTCCAAACAGTAAAAGTTGCTCGAATGCTTGGATTCTAGCGAAAGCTTAGTGACTCGACTAAATGCAGGTGGCTTGACAAAATCACGAACAAGATCACTTTGCGACGATTTGTATTGACTAAATTTCCGATATTCTATTGTCATATTCTATTAGAGGTATTTTCCTATTTGCTGATTGGATTTTTGTAAAATTCGGCCTTCCAAAGTGAGCAAAAACGCGTAGAGTGTCGAATGACCAGAAACTATTTCGCACTCTTCAAAATATATAATTTGAAATGTTTGTTTTTTCTAAACCGACACAACTTACGGATGATCCTGTCGATCCCAACGCCCGAAGCAGAGATCAATTCCTCCCACGTAGGCGATGGATTGATCAATGATGACCATTTTTTCATGGTGAGACCAGAGAAGAACGAAATCACGGAGGTGGTCTGGGTGACGAATGACCTAAAATAATGGGAAAGTCAAATTATTATGCCAAATTCTAATCCTTCGGAACTGAATGGCTTCTCAATTAGAGTTCAGCTTTCATTGCTATTCAGACTTTAAGCCTAGTCTAACTTAAAATATTAAAATGGTCGATGATATTTTTTGTCCTACTCTGAATATCTTCATAGCCAAAAATATCTGGCAAATATGGTTACATCTATTTAAATATTCCCATCTGAGAGTATGAAAGGGAGGAGCGATACTTCGTAGAAAATGCAATGCCGTTGGAAAATCAATTATGATTTTAAGCCTACAGAAGACACCTCGATTTTCTATGACAGGGGGTGTGGGATAGACTTACCTCCACGTGGTGCACAAAAAATGTCTATTAACTGGCAGTTGACTTCTGTCTTTAAACTACCAAGACCCCACTGCATTTCATATTCGACTACTTCCACAGTACTCACCTCACCTTTTTTCTATCGTTGTGTCTGTCTGTCTCTTTTACATCTGTGAATCATTATTCTGTTCCCCTCCCCTCTCGACTTTTTTTCACTTTGATATTTCTCCTCCCCTCAATGAAGCCCGAAGTCAACTAAAGGGCTAATGATAACTATCAAAACGCCTGCCATTTGATATAAAATAAATGTTTTGTGACAATTCAACGCTTGATTGCATATGAGTAAGTAGCTAACGCTATAATACATTTCTGATGAAGGAGTGAAAATAGAATGCTAGAACAATGGTTGTTTAACTGTGATTAAAGTGAAAGCGCACTTTAAACTTCCATTTGGTTCATCTTTGAACTTTCCACTCGTTTAACATCTAACCATCTAACGCCCTTAAGACCATATGATCCCCTTCAAAATACGCTCAATTAGCACTAGACTCGTAACAGAAGCGGTGCTATTGCCGCCTGAAACATGTTCAATACGTGTCTATAGCCTTCACTTGATACGGCGACATCAACCTGTTGTGGGTGTGTGTGCGGTTGGGTGCTTATTTGCAAAAAATAAAAAAAACTCGAGAGTTAAAGGGTTTAGTATAAAACCACATAGTTTGAAAGTATTGACATGAGTGGACGGACTGAGGCATATGTTTAACTGTGCAAGTGATTGTCTCGGTCTGCAACAAACCATATGGAGGGACAGATGGAAGTAATTAAAATAAACCACCTACTCACATGAATATTCGGGTGGAGACTGGACAGCCACCTTGAGGTGTGCTTGCTGTTTATAGACAGAGCTTGTGGTATTTCCCGATAGATCATTATGCATATTCGCACGCCTTCTTCCTAAAATGGGGAATCGAAAATGATAAAGGCATTCATTATCAGGCGTTAAACTCAATACGCAATAAAAATTTCGCAGTAAGCTGCAGGTTTCAAGTCGCAGTCCTGGAACCTCCACGACAGTATGTCAGAAAATAGGGAAATCAACGAATCCTCAAATATTTGAGCAATCTTATTCTGCCAAATAGGAAATAAAATTTAGGTACTGCAAATGCTCATTTAAATCCTCCTCAAATAATTTGTGTAAGGGGCGAAATTCTGCTTTGCCTCCTTTAATAGTTTGAGTTATTTTCGTCTTGTTGACCAACTAAATATGGGTCTTACCTGTTTAAAGCTCCATCTTTCCTCTTTCCCCTATACTGCCAGCTATTTTCTGATTTCTATACATAATAAAATATCCAATTAATAATTAGAATGATAATTTTAGGTTGGCTCTAGCTGATTCATCTGCCTTATTGTCGGTAGTTAGAAGTCACTAGCTTCAAGGACAAAGAATGTACTTTAACAAATATAGCGGTATCAATGGAGAGTTGGCTCAAAAGGGCCACCTTCTTGAAAAAAAAGATGATTGAACACAAAACACTGAGAAAATGAAAAATGAGGATTCAATATGGACTCGTGAGCAACACTTCATCTTCTAATTGTATAATTAATTCGTTAAAATTCCAATCTTCAAATTTGTTCAAATTCACTTACTTCCAACCAAATTTAAACCAACCCCAGGTTAACTTCATGAAAGCCTACGGTTCTCATTAAAATAGTTAATACAAGAATAAATATGCAAATTACTGAAACAGGAAGAAATCACTGTGGGTGTCCTGGAGATTTACTGAATATTTATTTCAAGTAACATCACATTAAAATCACCACAAAAAGTAGTTATAATTTTACAATACATCTCATGTGATTAGGATAACTAAGCCCATGTTTTCAATTTATTTAATTTGAAATGTCATATTATGGAAATAATAAATACAATATATATAATTATTTAGCGTTTGGTTAATTTAAATTTCTGCTTCAAAAGTTTATTTCAATCTTTATATACTTATCAGACCTACGTCTGTGGAACGCGATAACTGGTTAGCATCTAAGAGGAAGTTAAAATGGTTATTCTTATTATTACTTTATATATAATTTATCGAAACAATAACTCAGATAAACTCCAACTTGAATGAAACGTGTTTGATGATGTTAATTTTATTATTTGCTAAATTCTTTTGATCGAAATTAATTGCGACGTATAGATATTCCCTGAGAATATTAGTCGAAATCCTTAATTCAACAGAAATGACTTGCGACTATTATTAACTGAAAGTCAATTTCCTTTAGTTGTGTGAAAACTACGTGGTGATCCAATCAAATTGCAAATACATTCTTGGGGTGACATTCAATTAAGTGTTCTATGATATGCCTTGAATTGATTTCAAAGCATTCAAAGTCGCCTCCTCAATTTAAGTTCACTTGCATTCTCGAGTGATGTAACATTAAAGTGGTTAACAATAAAGAATTGGAATATGAATCGGTGGTTGAAAAGTGCAAAACTTTAATATTTTACTATCATTCCTGAAATTCAGTGCCGTGAAGGGAGGTATCCTTTGAGCTTATAAAATTGCCCTGTAGTCACTTTCATGCTGAAAATACGTTAAATTTTAGTCCCTCTGCGTCATTATGGCACAGAGACCTACCGGTTATGTCTAGACGAGGTTATCATCTCCATTTTATGATATCTCTTTAGTTCTATTTGACAGTTAACCTGAACTCATATCCCTTGCGTGTCTTTGTAATGTTAAGCCAATAAGCACCCTTTACAACCCACCCACCCCCCCACCCTCACCACCAAACCCGTCGCAAAGAGTCTTATCCACACGTGCCTTTCTCACTTTTCTACCCCCTTCCTCCATCCCCCCCCCTCCCAACTGCCTCTCTTGCTCTCTGGAAACCTCATCGTAGATTATTCAACAAACTTTAGAATATATGAATATTTGTGTTCCGCTTTTTTGGTTTGTTGTTTGCAGTTGCTAGCTTTATTGCAAACAGAAACGCCAAATAATAGAAAAAAAGTGTTAATGTTAAGGTATTGGGAGAATTCCAAAGGAGCCCAATTCGATATTTTCAGATATTTGAAAAAAAGAGAAATTTTACAATGAATTCAAGTCAAAATAGGAGTCTAAATTGATTTGAAATATGGAAGTATTATAATATCCGATTTTCAATCGGTATTATAGGTCAGTGGAATCCACGTCCACTTAATGCATCTACTTTCCATTTTTTGTAATAGATCCCAAAATGGCATCGATAAAAAAAACCCATGTGAAGTATGTACTCGGGAGTCAATAGGAATATTGGACCTTCAATCAACTACACAACTAACGTATAAGAGGTTATAAGTGTAATAAAGTTGCCTCTTATTTTAGTGTAAAATTAATTGTACCCTATTAGACACAGGGGGGGGGTGGACTTGTAGATCTGTCTAGACACGAGGTTTTGGTAGTTATAATTTGTTGACTCCCACGCTAATTTGGAAAAACTTATTTCTGTGGCTACTCAACCTTCGTCCCTTCGGGAATATGAAATCAAGATCTTTCAAACCACACGGCTTTATCATGGAACCCTATTATTCAAGAACTAAATGCTTTTTATCAATTAGACGTCAACTAGGGTATTTTTTTATTAACATTATACATTATTATCAAAATTTATTTTAACTTAACATTGATTGAACTTCACCTTTGCTCCTACAATCCAGACAAAAACATTGTTCAAATGCATCAATTTCTACTCTGGAAAAGTGTTCGCTTTAGCAGTAAACAATTGGCTAAGTGTTTTTGTCTTACAATAGCACTCGTAAAATTTTAACCCATGTCACCTCGGGTAATATTAAAACTGTAAACTTGTCGGTATTGCGTGGGATCGTTTTCCCCTCCCAGCCATTGGATGAGGCGTTGAACTAAAGCGGCAGTACCATGCCTTTCTTAATTAAAAAAATTAGCAATAGCAATCGAAAGCCCTCAACAGCATAGACACTCTTTTGCTGTGCACTAGAGTACGTATCCTGGATTTGGGAAGGGGAACTGTTTATTTGGTGAGTGCTGTTCAGTGTCTTGAGCGCGCTCTTCGTATCATTTCAATCGGTCTAACATTATCCTATCTTGCACTCGGGGTAATTCAATAGGCAACTGTCAATCAAAAGGTGGATACATAATTTTCTATTAAACTGTTGTATCCTTTGTCAAATTAATTTGCCAGAACCTGCCTTCGATTTATATTTACCTTCTTTAAATAAAAGAAAATAAACATTTTTTCCATTGTTTTTTTGAGATTCGAACATTGAAATAACAGAGCACTTAGTTTGCGAAACATATCCAAGAAACTGATTGAATGAATTAAATTTCGTAACTCTTTGGTAACTCTGACTGAAGTTCCCTTCTCATTGCTCGTGTTGAACTCCATCATGGCAATCTGTGCTCAAATGGTTTGACCCAGTGGAAAGAGCATTTTTTACTTTTAGTTTGAGTGCTAGGAATAGTAAAGAACTTCAAGAACTGTAACCTTATTGGAGATGTTCATTTTTAGTTACCTATCTGCGACATCTTGACTGAATGGATACTGCTAATAATCTGGAAGAATTTCACCAAAAAATTTCAGTAAATTCACGCACTGAAAAGGCAGTTAAATTGGTAGAATCATTATTTTAAATGCAACTATTAGATTCGATTCACTGCCGTCCAAATGACGTTCAATTATGTTTTCACCCGATTAAATTTTGGTATTTTCGATATGCAAAAATTTGAGGAGCGATTTTGAAATTATTATGAAACTTACAGCTTTCCTCTTGAGCATATAATCCAGTCTCCACCTGTCGCCACCATTTGGACGTTTGAGGAAGACTTCAGGAGAAAGCCACCAATCAGTGATAAAGATTTCATTTTGTGCGCGTTCGATCCCATTGGCTACAGCATCCATGTAGGAAGCACCATCTATACACCTATTAATCAATTAAAGAAGGCTTATTGAAAGGCCAGTAGGTATTGTGCTAAAGGACTAGAAATATTGCCATTTTGTTTTTCACCATATGGGTGGCATTGGCTAATGAAAAATAATATTAAACTGAAGATAATTTGACGGTGATATTTTATATTATCTAATTGGAATTGATTTTACCCATCAGTATATAACTTTTATTCATTTTTTCCTGCTTTTGACGCCTTTGAGACTAAATAATCAATTCCTTATTTCACATTCCCAGAAAATTGTTTATCATTACCCTAAGCAATCTCTTCCAATTTTTATGAGTTTGAAACAATGTGATCTTACTGAAAGCCCATAATATTTACCGATAATTTAGTATGCTCTGCTACATTAAAAAAATTTTCTGATTAGATATTAGGAAGTGCAAATTATTCAAAGTGGTATGAGAAACCAACCTAATGATAAAGTTACGTGCCCTACAAGTTCCAAAATGCCGTGAATGCGAACTCACCCAGAATCACAGAGGAACTGAGTTTTGGAGAATTGGGATATTACAAAAATACCCTCGGCTCATAACATGTTTGGTAAACAACACGAATTATTTCGTTATAAAGTCTATTTGAGTTTTCCATAAGCATTAATAATGTATGAATCTATTTTAAAGTATGCTGTTAATTCTCCATAGTATATAAATATATAAACATATATACAATTGTCACAATAGTAAGACATTTCATTGATCAACAAATAAATTTAAGCTTTTTCCCATGGGTTGATCATTCTCCCCCCATGGGGATATTTAAAGGGCAATTATTATAAGAATAAAAATGTTTCCAATAGATTTACTTCATGTTATCGCGACAGTTCTCAAGCAATAGGAAACATTTCTCATTCTTACCTTCATTTATTTGAAAAGATGTTCAAGGAAGTTGAATACATTTAAAACATTATTCAATTTAAATCTGATACAGTAGCGACAATGTATTGGATTGGCAACTAAGTCATTGCCGTTTTTGTTGACAGATTCACTCTATACTTTCTTTTGTTTTGTTGACGTGCCCAGAGCATCTAACCTATATTTTTTTTCTTACTGTATGGGCTTCTAGGTTAATTAGTACAAAATTTTTTTGTTTAGTTCTTTAGTTTTGTTTTTATCCCAATTTAAAAATGAAAGAACAGGACGTGCACTTCCGACACATTTTATTGTATTACTTCCGAAAAGGCAAGAACGCATCGCAAGCACAAAAGAAGTTATGTGCCGTATATGGAGATGAAGCCTTAAAAGAAAGGCAGTGT